GTCAGTGCAGTGTAAGGGAGTGACTAAATGAGTGAATGCATATTGAATGAATGAAGGCACTCTATAAATATCGAACCAGTCACATGTTTTTTCCTCCCTTGAGAACTAGACCTGCAAATATAAGGATTTAATTAGATGTTCCTGGTTTCCACCGGAGCCTATCTGATTGCTTCTATTATGCTTGGTGTTGACTCTAACTCTCAAAATGTAAATGAAAAGTGAAAAGGAGAGAACAGCCCACTAAAATTAATAATTTTCTGAGGCAGGCATTCCACTCTGGCTGCAGATCCCAGTCCCTAGGAGTTATCATAAAAGAAGAGCTGGAACTAAAACCAATACAATTTACAGTTCCCACCCTCCTACCTCCACATTCAAACCAAAGCAGGGGGAGCAGGTGGCCATGCCAATCTGATTATACAAACATATCCTCCCATTTCTTCCCTCCCCACCTTCTGGATCTTTCTCTCCATCCAGAACCTTTCAAGGGCTCCTTGGTGATTGACAACAAGGACAGTCTGAGGGTTCCTGGAAGGCTTCCCAGGTAAGGTGATACCTAAGCTACATCTTGTGGTCTGGGAAAGGCCCAGGGCCAGAAAGGTGGGAAGAGCTTCGTAGACATGGAAATGGCACAAGTCAAGTCACTAAATGGTAAGTTCTGGGCAGGGACAGCAGAGGGAACGGCCAGAGATGAGACCGGAGAAGGTATGGAGGCCAGCTCATAAAATTCCTTATAAACACAGAATCTCTGTTTCCTTCCTTAACCATCTAAGTGTAATTTCCAGGATTTGGTGTTTTTCTAATTGTTCTACATGGAACATCAGTAAATACCAGTGGCAGACCCTCACTGCAGATCCACTTAGAATAGAATCCGGTGGGGTGGGATTCCCACCCTGAATTTCTATCAGGTGCCCCAGCAATTTGGACGCTCAATAAAGTTTGCAAACTGCACCTCTAGTTGATGAGAGAGTAGATCAGTTAAGGCTGAGTCCAACTTCTGTAACAGGAACCAAGATGCAGTTACTCAACCAAACAGAGATTTCTTTTCTTTGCGTAACAAGAAATCTGGAGCTGGGTGCTCCCGGGTGACTGTGGCTGGTCCAGGAAGTCATCAAGCCAATAGGCTTCCTCTAGCTTCCTGCTCTACCAACCTAATGGGTGACTTTCATCTTCCTGGGGGCTGGCTGACTACTCCCAAGGCATCAGTCGGTGCGCCAGAAAGAAAGAGGGAAGAGAAAAAGGTGCTTTGTACCAGTTGAATCCCTTCCTTTCTATCAGGAAAAACATAATTTCCCTAGAAGCCCAGCCCACAGACTTTTGCTTATATCTCCTTGACCAGAACCTGGTTGCAAGCTTCAAGGAATTCTGGAAAGTAAAATTTTTAGCTGAGCATATGGCTGCCCCAAGCAAAATTGGGATCTATTAGAAAAGAAGAATGGGGAAGAACATAAGGTTAGTAGGAAGAAGTTTGTATAGAGAGCCATGGAAGACTTATCAGCAGGATAGACCCACAGGTGGATTTCATGCATCCTTCCCATAGCACGAAGAATGGGTTGACGATGGGCAAGGCCAACAGGAGAGGCACCAGGGGGAGGCTGCTGCAGCCCATCAGGGGAAGGGGCACGATGACCCGCAGAGGACCGTGGCTGTGGGCATGGATTCAGGAAATACTTAGCAGATCAAACTGACAAGACTTGATTGTATGGGATCAGCATGGGGGAATGGGCAAGAGAAAGGAGAAAAAGGAGCTACCAAGGGGGTCAGTAAGTTTGCCGGCTTCAGTCCCTGGAAAGATGACGCCATCATAAGTGAGTTTGCAGCCATGGAGGGGGGAACATTTTGTTTGGGACAAGCTGCATCGTCCAGAGATACGAAATCTTAGGGTGGGAGTTCAAACTCCAAGAGGAAATGAAATTTTCAAGGAGCATAAGGCAAGAAAAGCAGTAGAGAGACTTACTAACCTACACCAAGGCTGCTCTGGCCTCCAGATGGAAGTAGAACCATTCTGAATTTTCCCTGAAACCTGCAGGGAGCAGAAGCAGAATGCTCCAGCTTCCCAAACCCCACCCTCTCTCCCGGTCCAGGGGAGCCACCAAGTGGCTGCCACTCCTTATGGGAAACTGTTTAAGATCTTGTCTTCTTTTGGACTAGGAAAACAATAGTATTAGCTAACTGACTGTGAGCAATGTTTTAACTACTTTACATATCTCACCTTGTTTGATTCACGCAACTGCTCTCTGATCTCCAATTTATCAAAGAGGAAACCGATGGGAAATACAATGCCTCAGGAAGTAAAATGACTTGCCCAAGGACACACAGTTCGTCAAGGACAAGACCAGTAGGTTAAATGCAGGTCTGACTCCACAAAGTTCTAAATCTTAACTACCAAGTGATAAACTTCCGAGCCCTAAGCATTTTTTACCATGAGTTCCGATCATTTATGTCTTTGTCTTATGTCCCCTATTGAACTGCAGCCCTCTGAGAATAGGAGATTATCTCAGACCTTTTCTTAATAACTGTTGAATAAAAGAATCGATGCAAGCCCTAAAGTATGGCCCCAGGTTTAAGGGCAGACATGCTCCCTGAACGTCATGGATCCTTCCATGCCCCATCAACCCTAATATACCCTTTGGGACCAGACTTCATCTTTTTTAGTGCATAGATATTTGTGAAAATTATCTTGCTTTCAGAGATGAAAAAAGGGCAAATGCCAGTTTGTTAATGAACTGTGAGTACAATTATGAGAAACCAGTGTACCAAGACGTCACCGCTGATTCGAGCATAAGGAATTTAGTTCTTATGACATAAAACTACTTTTCTTAAACAAGATAAAACAGTACAAGGGGGCTCCTGCTTCATGTCTGGGGCATGAGTAAGCCATGGAGACGGAAGTCTCTGCACCACCTGGGTAGATGGAAAAGCATGGGCAGCCCCTATTTCTGGTGGTGGAAGCAGGTGGTGGGAAGAAGTCTCATGGGAAGACTGAGATGTAGACTTTGTCGGACGCTGCCCTGGAGCAGGTCCTACTTGGTCAGGTGACACATTGTCACCTGCTTCATGTGCTGGCTTTCCCCAGGCCTCCAGGAGGACTCAGTCAGATGTCTGGTCCATGAAGAGTTAGGAACATTGCATCTGACCCCAGTCACATCAACACTGAAGGAAAGCCCGAATGGGAGATTAAGGGGACTGAGGGGCTGGAGTCACTGTATCTTTTGATTTAACTGCATATCCCAAATAGCTCGTTTGGTGTTTTTTTGTTTGTTTGTTTTGGGCTTTTTTTTTTTTCTTTTTCTTTTTTTTTTTTTGAGAGCTGAGTTTTCTATCCCATTTGCCCAGAAGGGCAGCCTGGGAAGGATTGGAATCGACTTTTTCTTTCCTACCTTGAATTCCTCTAGCTAACTCAGAGACTGACTTCCAGACTCCTACGAATTAAACTCTGGTTTGCTCTTCAGAATATCCTTGTTACATTAATTTAGGGAGCATAATAAATCTGGAGTGAGGTATGTTTGCTGCAAATGCTAATTTGCTCGATGAGAATATCAATTAGATCTCTGAGGCATAGAAATTATGGCTGTTAAAGATCTCAAAGATCATTCTTAGCCTGCTCCAAAGTAAGAGGATGAGTAGTTACCTGCTGGAGAGGTCTGGGGTAGAATAGTAGAAGTACAAATATTTAATACCAATGAATTGTCAAGTCCTACGCTTGAGACTGAAAATTCAGGAGTTTCGCAGATCCCAGCAACCCATCTACAGATATACAGTAATAATAATAATAACCACCACCAACCACAATCAGAGCAATGGCAGCTTCTACTTGCTGAGCAATTACTATGCATTAGATTCAAGTATTCATGCATTTAATCCTCACAACAGCTCTGTGATGTAGGCACCATTCTTATTCTCATTTTATAGGTGAGGAAATGGAGTCATAGAGAATTTAAATACACAGCTTTCCTGGCGTCTATTTCTGGCCAAATTGAAATAGCAGGCAGGCATCAGATTTACTCTCCTCCTTGAAATAACTGAAAAACCAAATGACAGCTCTCGAAATATTGGCGATCAGTGAATGAAGGATAGTGAGCCCTGAGAGATGGGAAGCAAATGAGGTGAGCCTTAGGCATGATCCAGCTTGCGGCCTGGAGAGTTTCTAGTCCACAGTGCAGATACAGGGAATCGAGCAGAGCCCAGCACATTCTTGAGTTGAGGACGCAGCACCCGGACATCCAAGGAAGTCAAGGCAGCTCGGGTCTGCAGGGCAGAGCACCAGGGAGAGGGGAGCTTCATGGACAGAGAACTCTGGAGCTCTGCAAAGGGTTACACGCGAGTATCCAGTTCACTGATCACTGCTTGTGTGTAAAGAAACCGAGTCTGAGGAAGGAGAAAGACCCACCCAAGAGAATAAGAGGACACATTGCTTGCTGAGAGCTCACCCAGGACTGAGACTAGTGCCTGTGTCTTACCACCAGCGTGGGAAACTCTCATCATGTATGGGGTTGGCTAGAGGACTGGGAAGGGTATTGCCTCGGTAGTGGGGAAAATCAGCACTAGACTAGATACTGCTCCAGCCCTGCCTAGGGAAACTTAAAAGGAAGCCCTCAAAGGATCAAACTGCCTCCCAGTAACAGAACCACATCCCAGAAAAACAGCTCGAAGATACATTTTAGAAATATATAACTGTGGCCTGGCCAGAGATGTTTAAGTGGATGGACTAAATGTGTAAAAAGTAAAAAAATAAAATAAATAAAATACACTAATTAATTAAAATGGCTATACATTTTATCATTCGCAGTTATAAGTATATTAAATTAAAATGGGATCTATTCAAATTTGTTTGTTTGTTTAATACAACAAGGTCCAGCACACAACAAGGTAATATCTATAATGTCTGGCACCCAGGAAAGAAATGACCAATCACGCAGGAGCAGCAAAATAAGGGGAAAAATCAATCACACTTGACCCAGAAATGACATCGATGATAGAATTAGCAGATAAGGACAGGAAAATAGTCATTATAACTTTATTTCATATGTTCTGGAAGCCAGAGGAAGGATCAGACGATCAGACATGTTAAATAGATATAAAGAAGAGGGGCGCCTGGATGGCTCAGTCGATTTTAAGTGTTGGACTCTTGATTTCGGCTCAGGTCATGATCTCAGGGTCGTGATCTCAGCATTGTGAGATGGAAGCCCGCGTTGGGCTCCTGGGTGTGGAGCCTGCTTACGATTTTCTCTTTCCTTCTCGCCTCCCCACCTTACTCTCTCTCTCTCTAAAAAAAAAAAAAAAATACAAGGAAGATATTTTTAAAAACCAAAATACCCAAATTGAGGTTCTTTGAGATGAAAACTGCCATGTCAGAGATAAAAATACATTAGATGAGATTCATGGAACGTTAGACGTCAGAGATTAGTGAACTCGGTGACATAGCAATAGAAACCATTTGGAACTAAACGAAGAAAATGCAACCTGATCTGTAGAACAGAAAGCAGGGGGGTGGGTCCCTGGAGGTGAGGACACCGGGAGGCAGGAGGGGCATCAGGAAACTTGGGGGATGGATGTGTTCGTTATCTTGGCTGTGGTGATGGTTTCACATGTGTTTATGCATGTCAAATCTCATAAAACTGTACACTTCGAACATGTGTAGCTTATTATATGTCAATCATGCCTCCATAAATCTGTTACAAAACAAGTTTCCACAGGTCATACAGCTAATAAATTGCAGTCTGGCTCCAGATGCTAAGCACTTAAATACCACTTTATACGGCAAGGTGGCTATTGCTATTCCCATTTTATAGATGAAAGAGAATCAAAAAGATGACGGGACTTCTCCAAGGCCACACAGCGGGTAAGTGACAGAGCTAGGATTTATGCCCACGTCTGGCTGACTCCAAATCAAGTGCTCTTTCTGTCCCATTCTCTATGTTTTTGCCATTGACTTGAAGTTAGTAGACACCACGCACACAGCCTCGGCCCTCCCCCGCGTCTCTGGGTCACCTCCTCTCACCCTGTACCTCTTCCTCCATATACAAATCCCACCCTGGACTCCCTGTCCTCACCCATGGATCATTACTCAGCTGCCTACCTTCTGTACCTGGAAACATGGGAACAAATCAGTTTGTAAACGCCTGGACGAGAGCAGGGCTGAGTAATTGCCAATGCATCTTTGTGAAAGCAAGAGCTTGCTGGGCACTTGGAAGGCAGCCCCTGCCTGTTTTAAAGAAGTAGGCACTCTGAATCAAGACAAATAGACCAGCACGCATGCAGCATTTAGCATCTTTCCCCTCTCCCATCTCTTTACAACTTAGCTCAGTCTTCTCGCTGCCCCCCTCCTTTTTTTTTTTTTTAAATGAAGCAACTTGCGCTGAAATTGGTTATGAGGCATGCCAACACATAAATAGCTAAGCCTGCGTTCAAACTCAGCCTTGTTGGGGGAGATCTGAAGTCTAGATCTCATTTAGTTCACCGCAGAGTAAACATCTGACCACGTTCTACATCATAAGCATGAACTCTATGCAGCCAGGGCTGTTGAAAACAAACGCCCAAACCTAACCACCTGGTTCCTAGAGTGGGAGGGGGCTTTCCATTATGAGAAAGGTTCCAGTAGAAGCCTCATGGCTGCTACGAAACCTGATGCCAAGTAGACTCCTGCATGGGGTGGAGGGCCGCCCTGAGACTTCTGAGGTCCCTTCCCCATCAGGGGCGCTAAGCTCACACTCAGAACACTGGTGCTATTTATTATATGTTAGGCTGAGGGTAAGAAGTGTTCTCTGCCCTGTTTCCTGCCCTGCTCCCATCCTGACTAATTCAGCATTTCTCAACCACTAGATTGTCTCTACCCGTCTGGAGCAAAGCTTTAATCACTATGTAAGAAACGTTTTGGTTATAACTGAGAAGAGATGCTACTCTGTATTCTCTGTCCAGGGGACACTGAGTGGTTATGAGATGCAGGGCAGAGCAGGACATGCCTCTCCCTGTCCTCCAAGTAAGTCTGAATTTGGTGAACTCTAAATGGTGTGATGTAAAACATATTCATTAAGCTTCCAGGCTGCATGTAAAATGTGAAAGGATGCAAATTCCCCTAAATTGAAATTAAAAAAAAAAGCACCATGGAAAGAATAATTTCCAAACTGGAAAGGGGCTGGGATGCATTGTATTCTGGGTTTATGCTATTGATTCATGGCTGCACATCTTTAGCAGGTAAACTAATGTACCCATTTTCCTTGCTCAGGATTTGTCTTGAATCCTGTGAGATCTTCAGGAACCATGTCCCTTGCACTGCCCTGTTACAGGTAAAAAAACAAAGGGCAACATCAAGCCAGCTCTAATGAGGTGTTCTGTATTTTCCGGAACATGGGAGAACTTGACCTCCAGAGCTGCACAGTCCAACAGAAATATAACGTGAACAATATAGGTAATTTTAACTTTTCTGGTAGCCATATTACAAGAAGTTAGAAGGAACAGGTGAAATGAATTTTAATATTTTATTTAACCGAATATATTCAGAATGTTATTTCAACATGCAACCCATAGAAAAAATTATTTTTGAGAAATTTTACCTTCCTTCTTTTGTACTCAATTTTCAAAATCCTGTGTGTATTTTACACTCACAGCACATCTCAATTCAGAACGGCCGCATTTCAAGTGCTCAAAGGCCACATGGGGCTGGTGGCTGCCATACTGGACAATGCGGGGCTAGAATATCTACGGGGCACCGTCAGGGTACTGAAGCAGTGTAGTTGGTGAGGTCCATAGTTGCAGGGCGTGGTGCCTTCCAGGAAGTGGTGTGGTAACTGTCTCCTTTAATGATGCTCTAGAATGCTCTGGCACTCTGGCATTTTAAGTCTTTTCCCTCCAAGTGGCCTGCCCCAAACTCCAGTTTTCAAAGGCATCTTCTCCCACAAGGAGACTGAGAATCACTGGATATATTAGACAAGCCATAAGTCAGTTAACTATTTTTTTCAGTAAATTCCCCATCTGTAGAATGGGGATAAGCAGGAATACCAAGAGGATGGACGAAGACAGCTGATATGAGTGGTACCATTTGGTTTTATTATGAATGCTTACAATGATATCCCTTGGCTTTATTGCTGGGTGTATGTCTGTGTATGATTTTATATTTTATCGTACCTTCAAAGCAGGTATTTGAACTTAAAGCAAGCAAAAACAAACCTAAACAAACTAAAAACAGAAACAAAAACAAATTGATTACATGTATTTGTTGAACCTCCAACAAACCAAATCCAAGTATTTTTTGAAAGTTTAACTGAATTGAACCAATCCCCCCAAAACAATAACAACAATAAAACAAAAAGACCCCATAAGTCATTTCTAACTAGTCTAATATTTTCTTGTCCCTCCTCTTTGCTGCGGACCCCAGTCTCAGACCCCGGTCCAGGTTCTGTACATTCACCACAGGGCGCCTTGGAGGTAAGAAAAACCAATACATATGGCTCGGGTGGAGGCGTGAGGCATCAGCCAAATACTCATTATTTGCTTATGGTGTGGATGCAAATGCACATTTAGGGCTTGCATGTTTATTTTACAGAATGTACAAAAAGGAATAATTTCAGAGGAACTTCCAAGCTGCCAGGGCAGGGCAGTCTGTCCCCAGTCAATTATCACAATATAGGGGTACCTGGGTGGCTCAGTCGGTTAAACGTCTGCCTTCGGCTCAGGTCATGATCCCGGGGTCCTGGGATCGAGCTCCATATCAGGCTCCCTACTCAGCGGGGAGCCTGCTTCTCCCTCACCCACTCCCCCTGCTTGTGCTCCCTCTCTTGCTGTGTCTCTCTCTGTCAAATAAATAAATAAAATCTTAAAAAAAAATGATCACAATATATTCAAGTATCTTGATTGAGAACTTGCTTAAAAGAAAATGCCCCACGTGAGAATCCATTCAGTAGCCTGTCCCACTCTGTCCTGCTCCGAATCAGATTATTTCCTTCCCGTTTGAATGATAGGTTATTATTATGTACCTGGGAGATGATTTGAGGCTCCTGAACGTGGATGTCGTACAATATTTCACTCAGTGCCATTTAATGAAGAACAACCAGAAAAGCTATGTTCAATCTCCTTTGCATAAACAACGAACAGCATGCCCAAGGGCTAAATTCTTAAGGATTATTCCAGGGGTAATTTTCATGGGCTTTGGAGTGGGGCGTGCCTGGCTCTTATTTTAGTTTTCCTCCTCACACTGTATCTTGAGTTTTTCTATTGGTAAAATAGGATAATCCTGACTGCCCAGGAAGAGCTAAAATGAAGTCTTATAAGTAACTTCTTGGCACATAGAAGGTGCTCAATAAATACTTTTCCTTTCTAGTTGCCAAGCTAGAATTCCATGCCCGAACTGATCTTTCAAGTCATTGCTAGGTGTTTTCCAACTGGCCCAGCAGATGCAGGAACTTGTCAGCCCCTATATAAATCATGACCAACTTTATTATAGCAACCTTAGAAATGCTTCCCCCAGGCTGGTGTCCAATAATTGAACCACCACCAAAGTCAGGGAGTTTCTGCTCTTGGCCCTAAATTGGTATGATACTATCACTAGGTAAGATTCTATCAGCACCTATGACCATAATGTCAGCCTGTTGAGTGATCCATCCGAAAATATTGAGGAATTAATAGGACCTGTAGGTGATGATGCACATGTATTACCAATTAACTCCTTGGAATTAAAATTCTAGAAGTAGAACGGTTGGTTATGAGGGGCTGCACATTTGAAAGACTTTTAGAACATGTGAAAATGAGCCTAAGAATAGTCTACCAGCAGTGGATGAAAATGCTCCCTTCCTCACAACCTCATGCCAACCAAGTATTGCCACTTTTTGTGTTTACTAATATGAAACATAAAATGGTATAATGTTTAATTTGAAAGGCTTTGTTGGACATTTTTTCCATATGTTTATTGGCCATTTGGGTTTATTCTTTTCTGTTCTTCAGAGGTTAAGTTTTTCCTTATTGGCTTATAAAGGATCTTTGCCATATAGATATATTAGCTCCTTATCATATCTATAATGATTGTTTAGTTTTTTCCGCAGTGTGTTATTTGACTTTTAAGGTTTATTAGTCTGTTTTTCAAGATTGTCTAAAAAGTAATGAGCAAACATTTATCTACCCAATAAACACTTGCTGAATGCCAAGTATATGCCAGGCTCTGTGCCAGGCATTGGCATTATAAGAGGAAAAAAAAAAAAGCCCAAATTTCTACCATCTAAGAGATCAGAGTCTAGTGGAAAACAGATATTTCTGCAAAGGTGCCATGAGCACAGTGTGAGAGTTGCTATGGCCAAGGGAAACCCTGGGGTCCCTGGGTGCAGAGTGAGGGCATCCTAACCGGTTGGGAGGGGAGGAAAGGATTGAAGGAAGGCTTCCTGGAGGTGGTGGCATTAGAGCTGAGTCTCAATTAGACAGAACAAGGAGGGCATTCTAGGAAAAGGAAAGAACACAGGCAAAGGTCCCAAGGCAACGAAAGGCTCCATCTTTTCAGAGATTCCAAATAATTCAGAGCGGGGCACCTGGGTGGCTCAGTCAGTTAAGCGTCTGCCTTCGGCTCAGGTCATGATCCCGGGGTCCTGGGATCGAGCCCCGTATCGGGCTCCCTGCTCAGCGGGAAGCCTGCTTCTCCCTCTCCCACTCCCCCTGCTTGTGTTCCCTCTCTTGCTGTGTCTCTCTCTGTCAAATAAATAAATAAAATCTTTTTAAAAACAAAACAAAATAACATTCTCTTTAAAAAACAATAACAAATAATTCAGAGCATCTGAAGTGTGTCATATAATGGGATGGGGGAAGCTGATCCAAGGACAGAGATTTGACAGCAACAAAGAGACAAGTAGGTGAGGGCTAGATCGTGAAGGTCCCGTGCCGTATGAAAAGAACCATACAATTAGAGTCTACGCATTAGGAAAAGCATCAAGGGGCTTTAGGAAGTTGGCTCTTTTCAGCCTGAAAGAAGTTTTCAGAAGTAAGGCTAGAAGAGGAAGCGGAACCCAGTGTGGTAGGAGGGAGTCACTGACGATTTTGACTAGGGAGCACTAGAGAAGTGCTTTAGGAGGACAATTCTGAAAGCAGATGGGGATAGCCTGGGAACCAAGAGACTAGTTAAGAGGCCACTGTAACATTCAGGCTGCTCTGAGTGGTGGTGGCAGGGAGGGAGAAGAGGGATAGATTGCAGGGACATTATAAAGGTCGAAGGACCTGAGGGATTCAAGTATGGGGGACGGTGATGCTCTTACAGAGTCAGTTTAGGGAACTGAACAGTGGTTCCTGGAATCCAAGGGCAGCCTAAGCCCTCAAACCATGGGACATCCAAACTAAGCAGAGCCCTAAGAGTTCACTATGGTAGATTGTAAATGGCTGCACATTCTTTGACATTCTTCCTTTTGAGAAGAGTCAACTGTGTGTCCTCCATTTGAATCTAGGTGGGCTCTGTGACTACTTGACCAAGAGTCCACCACTGTGTCAGCTTCTGAACTTGGGCCTTGAGATTCTGACAGCTTCTACTTCCCATGTGTTGGATGAGAACAACTTTGGGGGCCCAAGCAGCCCCACGAAGAAGCCCACACGAAACAGTATCAAGCCCCTGGCCAACTACCCCCCGGGAGTTCCCAGCTGACGGCCAGCACCAGCTTGCCAAGCATGTGAGTGAACTGTCTTGAAAGTGGCTCCTCCAGCCTCCGTGGAGCTTCCTCGGCTGAAACTGCCCAGAGCAGAGAGGAGGTGACCTGACAAGTCTCCCAGATTGCAGATTCACTGGCAAAATAAATGCTCGCTGTTATTTTAAGCTGTTGGATGTTTGAGTGGACTGTCACACAGCAATAGGGAAAGCAAAGAAAGAACCACATACTAGAGAGGTGCCAAACTATGGCTAGATAGCCAAATGTGGGCCACCACCCATTTTTGTAAATGAAATGCTATCGGAACACAGCAATGCCTGTTCACTCACATACGGCCTTTCTCTGCTTGTCTGCTTTAAAGGCAGAGCGGAGCAGTTGGGAACCCTGTGGCCCACAAAGCCTAAAATATTTACTCTCTGGTCTTCTACAAAGAAAAGTTGCTAACCCCTCATCTGGTATATCAGAAAGAGGCCCAAGGAGAAGAAGACACTGGTCACAGTTTACATACAAGTTAGGGACAGAATCAAGATAGAACCCCAGTATTTTTAAATCCCTGTTCTGTGTTATTTACACCATTCTACTAGGATTTATTAAGCACCTCCTATAGAATAGGTGTCGAGCGGGGGCGCCTGGGTGGCTCAGTTGGTTAAGCGACTGCCTTCGGCTCAGGTCATGATCCTGGAGTCCCGGGATCGAGTCCCGCATCGGGCTCCCTGCTCAGCAGGGGGTCTGCTTCTCCCTCTGCCCTCTTCCCTCTCTTGCTCTCTGTCTCTCATTCTCTCTCTCTCAAATAAATAAATAAAATCTTTAAAAAAAAAAAAAGAATAGGTGTCGAGTGACTAGTGTCAAGATGATACCCCCAAGGCACATTACCAGTGGAGGAGAGTGAAGAAATAACCATCTAGAAAAATCTATAGTAGAAATGAGCACTGCATGTGAGAGAAGGCAGAGCCTGTGCTTTTCATTCCTGCTCCTGAGTGCCTTCCCAGCATCTGGCACCCCCCCTTTTTTTTTAAGATTTATTTATTTATTTGAGAGAGAGAGTACATGAGACAGGGGAGGGTCAGAGGGAGAAGCAGGCTCCCCGCTGAGCAGGGAACCCGATGCGGGACTCGATCCCAGGACTCCAGGATCATGACCTGAGCCGAAGGCAGTCGCTTAACCAACTGAGCCACCCAGGCGCCCATGGCACCCCCTTTTTTAATAACAGCACCCTGGTTTCCCTTTAAGAAGCCTTTGCCATTCTGCTAGTTCACGTGGTTTGAGTGGAGCTGACCTCACCTTTCGGCGTCAGGCCT